GGGGGGGATCTTGATTTTTTTAATTATATAAGACTTGGAATTTTCATAAGCATCTTGCCTATGTTACCTCCAAAGTTAAGAAAGTTTTCTTCACACAGCAATGGTTATTCTTCAAGCAAAGAAATTATTAATTTTTTCCCGTGTGTTTCCTTTCTTTTTTTAAACATAAGCGTGTTGAACCCTCATCGACACAATTTAGACTATGCCTGGGCTGGGGCGAATACAACTTCCCAGCAGAAAGACAGAGATGCTCGATTTTTTAAAAATCTTCCCACACGGGTATCCAACTCAGGCCTTTACGTGCGACAGCAAAGCGCCTAACCGCTACACCACAGATTCTGGTGCCAACGCCTCTTTCTAAGACACAGGAAGCCCGCGCAAAACCGACAAGTTGGCATGATATGCATGTATTTTACGTCCATGCCCGTATCCCTTCCTGTGACACATAAACTATCGTTAGCTTCTTACACCTGACTCATTTCCTGTACATGTTTACAAGTGCGCTTGGACATCAAGAGATGAAGTGGCGGATGATATCCCAGATTTTATAACAGTCTCCCACGCTCGTCAAAATACGATCAGGTTCATTTTCCATCTTTAAACAACATTTTTACCTAAAAAGATTGCATTTTGAGATGTGTAGTGCAAAAATAATTTTTCACATATTATTACAGAGAACGCTTCGTGCCTTTCTTGTTCCTTTGTTTCTACTTCTGAGCTTGGCGGAAAAATATAATTACGTTACATAGTTAGACACCTGACATTACAGCACGGCTAAAACGCTCTTTAAATAATAAATTTGTAGAGAGGCAACATCTAGTGCAAAATATAAAACCTTCAAAATCATGAAGCGGAAAGATTTTACTGAGTTTTGCATAGCTCCACAGAAAGATTTACAGAGTTTTGCATAGGCGCGTACATTAACGGGGTAAGAAAAATATATTTTTATCAAGGGGAACACAAAAAAAGTCAAAAATATGTTCATTCAAGACATATCTGATTCCTCCGTTTACAAGAATGTTGTAAACGGTGCCAAAACGTAATCCTATTCTATCGTAACCTTAGTCGAGGTGTGGCCAGTTAGGCTAAGGAGGGTTTCATCTTCTTCTTCTTCTTCTTCTTCTTCTTCTTCTTCTTCTTCTTCTTCTTCTTCTTCTTCTTCTTCTTCTACCTGCAATACCCACTGTCAATGGAAGTTTAGAAACAGAGAAGATAAAACGTATCCCGGTTGCTATGCAGTGAGGAGACAGTTACCTTTTTTCTTTCTTATTAAACAAACCCAAATTAATTTAAACCATGAAGCCCAATGCACTTCTCAATTCAAAACTAAATGCACACACAGTAGCAGCCAGAGGGTAATTCTAACTAATGTTTTATGCCCCCTTCGACATTAACCAAATCATTTTGGAAGCGGGCTACTTCAACTTTGCCTGTCAGAGTCAACTCGGACTGAGAGTGACACAATGTCCCAGCAGCATTATGGAGATACATACTCGCTAACAATTCTGCACTCGGGAATTGAACTAGGCCTTCAGCATGCAATGGCCTAGAGCCTAACAGCTACAACATAGAGGCAGACAGGCAGATAAAAAGCTCTGTATCAGAAGAAAAGAAAGAAAAAGGCAGGATTCGGCAGTTCTTTTAAGAGAGATAAGTTCAAAACATTAACGGAAAGAAAATCAGAACTCTCCACTTGCCTGCCCCCCCCCCCACCAGGGCAGTGCAACTGACTGAAGTGTCTTTAGGCCATTCCCAAAGGGAGAATATTAACATGTTCTTATACACAGTAGAATTGTAAATGGGCTGATTTATCGGTGTCATGCCCATAGTGTGCCGGAACAACGTAGGGGGAACTGCTGCTTTTACTTTCCTCATCTTTACCATAGTCATTTTTCCTTTACTTCTTTTATATGTTTGTACTCTCTAGTGAATTGCTATTTCCGCGGTGCCTTAATAGTCGGAGCAGACTTTGTGTTGTTGAGGCTAGAGAGGAGAGCAGAGTAAGCCTGATTCCCTGTAAGGACTTGTCTGTTGACATCCACCCCTTGGCGCTCATATGACCTTAGCAGTTGCGAACGCCGTTTACTAAAACTAAAAACTCCACTTGCCTGCCACTTGCTCCTCCGTGAGATCAGCCACCTGCAACAGAATAATGAAATAATATCAAATAGTATGCTAATAACAACTGCATTCGCTACATGATGTGAAATTGGTGAAATTGCATAGGTGTAACGCAACTATCAACTCTATTAGTAGATTGTTTAAAGAGGCGGGACTTCCAAGTTTAACGTCCATGTCCGGAAGGGCAGAGCCGAACGGGGAAATTCGAGTAAAATGGCTTTACCAAGAACGCAAGGTCGGACCCAGCATGTAATATGGTATGAAGATCATGCACTGTCTTAATGTAGAAAGTAAAGACGTTTTCATCATAGATAATAAAGAGAAGTCATTATGAACAGGTCATAGAGCTGTGACGTGTCAAGTGTGGTGTTCTTGTGCACTTTGTCCAAGGCAAATTTGAGGAAAATGGCTGAGCAAAACATTTGTGCAACCTTCTCATGCTACGATGTCCGAGTTGTGATCAAATTTTCAACTCTTCTCAGCAAGTCTGCAGCTGAAACCCATGGTGGTCTATACAAAGTAATAGGGAATAATGCCCCATCAATTCAAACAGTTAGGGGATAGATGAGGGAGGTTGAAGGTAGGAGGTCTGAAATGAAAGATGAAACGCACACAGAAAACACGGGGAGAGAAAGATGCACATTTTTTCCACTTGAGTGGCATACTGAGCTGGCTAGTCACACCTGGCGTAACTGTCATGGGTGACAACTAGTAACTACAGGTTCGTCCTCAAAGATCCGGGAAAAAACCCACTTTGCTTTAAGAAGGCGTCATCCTGCACCATGACAACGCACCTGTTCACAAGTCCAGAGTTTGTGAACGAGCTTCTTGAGGGCTGCTCGTGGGAATTTTTGGAACATCCGCCCCATTCGCACGATCTCGCTCTCTGCAACTTCCACCTCTTCCCCAAGAAGAAAGAAATGCTGCGAGGTCAGCGATTTGAGGACAAGGACCAGATTCAAGAAGCTATGAGAAAAGCACTCGAGACCTTGGACAAACGATCACTGACCACTGTCTTTGACGGCTGAATACATCATGGAGAAATGTCTTAAACTTGATGGCTCCTACGTTGAATAGATATTTGAATAAATAAGCTTTCTGTTCATACCAAATACAAGGTGATTTATAATTATATATGTGAGGACAGCATGACAGGGAAACTTTATTCTGAGACAGACCTCATAAATGGAAAAACGAATAGTTTAGACAGAAGACCTCACACCCGTCAATTACCATCCTATCCTCTCTGATAATGGCATGCGTCAGTCTGTCGCATACATTGCAAGCAGTGCATGAATTCCATAGGACCACTGCTCGCCCAATTTAAAATCAGAACCGATGGAAAATCCCCTTTCTTCCACCTTTAGCCCCACCAATGGGTGTCATAAGCACAATCAACCAATGACACCCCTCGTCCTGTGCATGTAACAAAGATTCGAGAAAGTTGTGTTGGCCATCATCGACACATTGTAGATTGTAGCCTCGAACCCGGAACTCACAATC